TAATTTTTGTATGAAATTTTTTTATTTTTTTTAATACATATTAAAAATATTGCAATATTTTTTATAGTGATACAATTTTATGTATACATATATTAAGATTTACTCTGTGAAGTACGCAACGAAAATTATTGAAATTGCCCTTGAGTTCCGTCAGCTTGAATATAGGAAATAGTTTACTTCAGAATTATGTACTATTATTTATTATATTATATATTATATAGCGAAGCCAAATAAGAATGGCTCAGAAATATTTAAATCATTTAGTTTTCGCTTTGATATACAGAAAGTAAACTATCAGAAGAATATACATATATATGATATATTTAAATTAGTCAACCAAACAAATAATATATAAAATACAGAAGCCGAACTGTCAGTTTATGATTGCAGAACTATCGATAGTAATTTTAGGGTTGTGCGTGAGCATGCGAGAGAGTTGTGTGAATGGTAGAGTTGTTTGCCGGATGGAACGTAGAGTCGTAGTTAGCTTTGACAGATCCATCGCTGGACGTGTTTTATTATGTATTTTTCGATTGGTGTCGAAACTTTTCACACATTTTAAACACCAATTCCAACAAATTCAAATGTATTGTTAAATGTTAAGCGGTCGAACAATCTCGCGCGGCCCAAAGTGTATAGAAGCCATTCCCATACCCATTCGACGACAAACCGAGTTCTCTATTTTCTATGTGAAGCATCGACAAGCCGTCCAACACTGCGCCGGCAAGACAGCGTAAGCAACCGTTAAGCAACCCCGAATCGAGCAGAAATCGAGAATTAAAAGAATCAAAGAAATGTTGGCACGCAAATCCCAACTGACTCCGCGGACACCGCCCGTCCACGAGCGCATCGCCCTGCTGTGCGCCCGGAACATCTGCAAGCTGGCCGCTGCTTTGCCCAAGCCGCGCACTCGATCCGGCTATTTGCCAGTGCTGGTGGAGCTGCGCCGCACCGACGAAAATGTCGTCTATCGCTACCAAGTGAACCTGCCGCCGAACTGTCTGGAAGGCGACGGTCAGCAGATGAGCATGGCCCAGGCCAAGGCGATCACTCAGCAACTGAAGCTGCCCTGTCTGGTGCACGGCGCCCTGGAGCCCAGCGCACAGCCCCAGGCCGTGCTGCCAATGGTGACCGAAGATGGCGAGGCACCGCAGCTGATCCTGATGCAGGATGCTGTGCATGTGGTGCACGAACGTGAGGACTACGAGAACATGGGCCCCACGCCCAGCAACGACGGCATCACCACGTTCCAGAACGCGGCCTATGCCAGCGGCGCATCGAAGATCACGCGCGACCATTTCATGGCCGTGCTGCACAACCAGCGCCCCAGTCCGTTGCAGTTCGAGACGCTCTGGGCGGACCAGCACTTGGAGGGGCTGGAGAGTATTGAGCAAGTGATCAATGCCTGCCAGCCACGCCCCATCGAGCTACCGGGCTTACACGAGCCGTTCACAGCGCGTGACAATAAGGCCGAGTCCCAGCTGCAGCTGAAGCCATATACTGGCCTTGGACAGGCCTCCGCACCAAAGGCTCGGTCAGGTAACTTCCGGGGCAATGGGCATCAATACAACCCAACTTCGCGGGGGCTGGCAAGCGTGCGCGAGGAGCGGCTGCCCAACAGGCCGCTCAACGGCTACAAGCAGCAGCGCAAGCCCAGCAGGAGCCAAAGCTTCGCCAACAGCACTGAGCGAATGCGTTGTCAGCCGAAGAGACTCGGCAACGGCAACGGCAATCGCGAGGCGCCGAGCCAACCGGCGTTGGGCTCGAGTGGCTACAGGCCGCAGCCCTACGAGCCGGCATTCTATTGCAGCATCAAGGACTACATTGCCAACCAGCAGCAGTCGCGGCAGCGCATCTATCTGCCCAGTGGCGATCCGCTGGAGTATCGCATGGAGGGATCGTCACCCCTCTATGCGCACCAGCCGCGCGGCGACAGCAATGGCCAACCCTTGCATGGGCAGAGGCAGCTGCTCATGCGACAGAAACTGGAGCAGGAGCTCGACTATCAGCGGCTGATCGAGCAGCAAAAGTATAAGCGCAGCTCTACGGGTGAGTCGACTTGAGTGGCTTAAAGCTGAAATGCAAGTTGAAAACACTTGCAGCAGCATTGCTTAAGTCATCTGATATTTAGCCTTTAGATCTAATTATTGGAAACCTGCTGAAATTGCATTTACTATGTAGGTTTTCATTATCATTTCACTCATCTATTCTTTAAAATGAAATGAAATTTCCTCCATAACAGTATAGTATATATTGCTATATACCAGTTACGATACAAATATTTATATATCTGATATCTATCGCATAGAACCGTCGACCACACCGCAAGTTCCGCAAGAGCTGCAGTCGCTGTTCCACTGGGACTGCTGCCACCTGTGCCACACGGCAATGCGCACGATGCGCAACGCCCTGGACCATTACCTGTCGCGGACGCACCTGCGTCGCGTGGACTCGTGGCTGATACGCTACAGCTTCGTCAAGGGCAACCTGTCCGAGGATATGCTGCGGCACCTGCGCAGCTCGGGACCCGCCGTGCTGCACTGTGACCTGTGCGACCTGAAGCTGACCTCGGTCATACACGCGCGCCAGCACTTCTACGGGCGGCGGCATCGGCTCGTGGAGCGGCACATCAGCAAGCCGAACGGCGAGGGCTACTACGACAAGACGGGCCGCTGGGTGCGCACCAACGACAAGTGGCTGATGTGCAAGCTTTGCGACGTGATTGTCACCTCGGAGTCGCAGCTGTCCATACACATGGCCGGGCTGCGCCATCGCAAACGGGAGCGCTCCAGCGGTCCGGGCTCCATGTTGGAGCCGTTCGATGGCAGCCACGTTTACCGCATCAATGCGAATGGGTCGCTGGTGCCGCTGAATCCGCTCGGCTGCTACTTGTATTCCGGCTATAACAAGCCGGACTTTCGTAAGATCAACGATCTGAATGCCGCCTACTACTGCGAGGTCTGCAACATAACGCTAAATCACCTAAAGTCGGTGAAACAACACGAGGAGGGGCGTGTGCATAGGAAGAGGCTGGAGAGGGTCATGCAATAGAAGAGTGGACTTGAAGAAGAAGAAGAAGAAGACGAATTAGAAGGAATATAATGTGAAGAAGAACAAGAAGAATTATAAGGAGAAGCATATAAAGGGAGTGGTGTGTATATGAGAGAGTGAGTCTGCGTTTCATCTCGTATCTACAGTATTTATCGAAGCTATGGAATGTCAGCAGAGCCCCAGCCCCAAACCAGACGAACGGGCCGAGTGCTGTGCCGTATTATTGACAATTTACTTTTTGAACTATCTAWCCTTTTCATATGTTTTATAATAGAATTGCGCATAAACAACAAATGAGCAAATGTAACCTATATATATATGTATATATATATGTGTATATGTGTCTATACATGTATATATATGTATATATATATATAAATGTATGTACATATATATATATGTATATGTATATGTATGTATACAAAATAATAATAAAATATTATTGTATGTCTATTAAAAATACTCCTTTCTTTTCCTTGTTTATAATTAAATGTATTGCAAATTCTGTGTGCATTAAATAGTCTTGTAAATTAAGCACTTTTCGAAAAAAAAAGTGTTGCATGCTTTCGGGCTGCGCGATAAATGTTGTCCGACAGAATGTTGCCAAGCATATGCTTCTCGAATGTTGCTAAGCTTCAAGCATGCTGCAGCTGCTATGTTGCTAAGCGGCCTTTGCATGTTGGAATTAACATTGTAAATGAAATTTGTATTTATAAAACAAATATGAATATAATTAATTAAAAAAAAATGATTTAAATTCAGGAAAAAATAATACCAATAAAATACGTTTATAAATATATTTTGTATTATTTATTCATTTATATATTTTTTAGTATATGGAAGTGATCAGTAGTGCTAAACATTCTAGTTAGCCGTTACTTTTAATTAGCAGTGTGTTAAGATTATATGTGAATGTAAACTACAATTTTTTTTACTTTATCTGGTAGTTATAAAAAAATAATATAAATTTTTGTGATAAACCAGACTGACATAAGATGATGTCAACTCGGATATTTCTGCAAATGTTCATTATCAAGGAGAACACACAAAATTCAATTATGCACTCACAAGCCATTTATTCATTTTTCATTTTGAATGATTTAATGGAAATTAAGGTAAATTAATGAATGTTACGGTTATTTTGCCTTTGATAGCTGCTTAAGCCTTTGGTAATTAATGATGCGACACTCGCCGCAAACGCTGTTGTTCTTTGCTTTTAATTGCACGTCTGCTTATGCAGCGACACGTTGCCCCATTGCGGAGGCGCTGCGTCTGCCGTTTGCCATTTGCGATTCGCCATTTGCCATTTGCCATTTGCCATTTGCCATTTTCCAGTTGCCATTTGCCATTTGCCCAGACGAAAATGGCATAAAATCTGCGCAGGACTCGTCGCCAGGCAGAGACAATGGGAGTACCATAAAAACGGAGTTATCGCTGGGTAAATATCAGAAGAGAGCTACCCACAGCACACCAGCCGGGGCCGTGGCTCCATGTCAGTCAGACAGTCGGCGTCTAGACAAAACATGGCATTAAATAAATAAATAAATCGCAACAACATCGACAAACCGCAAAAAACGGATGCGACTCGCTACAATTTATGGCCACGTTTTTGGGCGAGTGTGAAGAAAAAAACGACATTGGCTGCACATGTCCGATGAAGGTCAATAGCAAGTGTCGGGCGTGTGAACTTGTGGGCGTGGCCAGGGCACAGCCTAGTCAGCTGCAGGCTGCAGTATCTATATATGCACTATATATGTCCTCTGCTCTGTCCTATCCTCTGCTGCTATATAGATATCTGTTTATCTGGCCGTCTGGCCGTCTGGCTGTCGCTTCTGGGGTGGCAGCTCAAAACATGTTTTCGCATAAATTAAACTTCTTATCTGCTGTAAAACGAGAGAGAGAGAGATTGTTGTTGTTGTTGTTGTTGTGCGGACAGGAAATGTATAAACAGGAGAGAGAGAGAGAGAGAGCAATAACTAGTCAGCTCTTGCAGTAAAGCGCATGGGGAGAGAGAGAGAGAGAGAGAGAGAATGCTGCAAAATATATAAATTGACGGGAAATGACGTTTTACCGATGATATAATTAATGATATGGCAATTGGCTCTTACAAAATCCAAAGGCAATTGACATAATGCAAATGTTAATGCAGAGATTATAAAAGTCGAGTTCTCATATTAGCTATAAAGCGAGAGAGAGAGAGAGAGAGAAGTCCTATATACCATTATAGGCTATCATAACAGATCTTTGAGAGAGAGAGAGAGAGAGAAGACAGAGAGAGAGAGAGAGAGAGAGAGAGAGAGAGACTGAGAGAGAGAGAGAGAGAGATACTTGGTAAAGAGAGAGAGAGAGACAGAGAGAGAGAGAGAGAGAGAGAGAGAGAGAGAGAGAGAGAGAGAGACAGATATACTGACATTATTTTCCAAGGATCCCATTGACTTTCTAATGAAT